AATGAACTTGAAGTCTTCACTTGCCTTTTATTTGTCTTCAATGTTCTGCTTTAGATTGGATTATCAATTTCCGTTCCTCAAGGTTCCTGCTGCTGATTGTTGCCTTAACCTCACTTATTCCTCACATTCACTGTTTTATTAGTCTTTTCCCACAAGTGCAAGCTATCCTTTAGTTGGTGGAATTAGAGTAGCTGGATTATTTGCCACAGATAAGATAAAAACCATTCTTATAATACATTCGTTCAAACGTGCAATTTGACCATTGTAGTCTCAAATTTAAACAAACCATATTTAGCTCTTAATGTGATCATTCACTATTGCATTTTCGGGTTCACGAGTTGAGAAGAGCCGTTCAATGGAAGTATGAACTAGGCAAGAAAAAAAATTATGAGGCGGTAATACACCTTTGCATATGCCATCTTGTCCTATGAATAGGGAGAAGGAAAAAAAACACTACAATTTTATTCAGGGATAATATTTGAATTCAATGCTTCTGAATGCCTTTATTGCATCTTCTCGTGGAAATTTATCTCCCTATGTGGTATTATGACAGAAGCTAGTCTTATGTCTATATCGTTCCCAGAGTTTATGCTATATTTTTTTTTTAGTCGTTCTGCACTGAGATGAGGAGTCATTTCCGAACATGCACCAGTTTTTTCACATATAGGAGCCTTTAATAATCTCATGAAATCTTCTTGTTCTTTTTTTTTTTTCTTTTTTTGTTCCTCGTAACTATGCTTAAACATGAAAGGCATTGCGTGTACTGATATTCATGTCTTGGGGGAACCAGAGTTATGTAGTTATTTTATGAACAATGATGCTTTTCTTTTTGAGTGATAACAATTTGTCAGCAAAAAATTTAAAAAAATTAAATAAAAAGTTAGTAAGCAACTGAATAAGAAAGTTGGGTACCGGTGATTGCAAATTCTTCTTGATTTAAAATTCCATTCAGTTTTCCAAGACCTTATTTCCATAAACATTAAAAAAAGAAACAAAAATTTCTCATGATATAGTAGTGACATGTAAATCTTGGTGAAATGATGACAACTAGGGCAGGCAGGTCCCCTTGAAACCAACTAGAACTGGCCTTAGAGCAGGCAAGTCTCCCTAGAATTGGTGGGGGTGGAGCCCCAATATCCCAGTCCCCATTTGCCCAAAAAGACAATGTAATGTAATCTTGTTCATCATCTAATTTCAGGTCGTCGATCATTATCCAAGGATGAGACTAAAGAAGAAGTTCTGTCCATGGAAGTGCAGAAACAGGAGATGGAAATAGGGATCAAAATGAAGATGGGAGCGATCATCAAAACAAGGCTAAAAGGTACCATCCATTGTTGCTTCTGTGATCTATGAAACCGAACCGCCCACCAACCCATCACGAACCCCCCTGATACACTTACCAAAACTAAAACTAGACATGTCCACACATCCTTGAGATCTCTGTTCTTCTGCCTCTTCTGCTCTCTCTCCCCCTTCATTCCAGCTTCAGTGTCTGCTCCCACCTGCAATTCTCTCGTGTGTGACATAGAATAGGAGGAAAAACTCACAAATGATCCATTAGAAGAAGAAGAAGAAGATAGATCGGAGAGAAAACCCAATTAGCTTAGGAAAAAGACCTGTGCAGTTCTTGAAGATATTAGAGAGAAAATAGAATAAGAAAGTCGCATTGAGTATAACGTCACGCGTGGCTTCCCAAAGTTGGTTTTGTCAATTTGAAGGAATGTAAATATAAATAAAAGAAGGATTGGCATTCATTGGCTGGGATCGATAATTGCGTAGCTTCTATCTGGGGTAGAGTTTGATTGATTTATTGCCTTAGATGACATTTAGTGCCGCGACACCCACCTGGCCACAATTCCTTTGTTTCTTCATTTTCATAACCTCTTTCATTATTGTTTCTTTCTTCTCTCCTCCCTTCTCATGCAAACCCAACTACAGCTTCTATTCAGAACATTAATCTTTAAGTATAGTCATAAATGAGCCTTTACATAAGACTAGTCTTATGAGTGTAACCGCCTCAACTCACTGCTAATATTGTTCATTTTGGCCTGTTACATATCATCTCAACCTCATGGTTTTAAGCGCGTCTACTAGAGAGAGATTTCCACACCCTTATAAGAAATGTTTCGTTCCCTTTTCCAACCGATGTGGGATCTCACAATCCACCCCTCTTGCTCACAATCTACCCCTCTTGGGAGTCTANAAAAAAAAAAAAACAAAAATTTCTCATGATATAGTAGTGACATGTAAATCTTGGTGAAATGATGACAACTAGGGCAGGCAGGTCCCCTTGAAACCAACTAGAACTGGCCTTAGAGCAGGCAAGTCTCCCTAGAATTGGTGGGGGTGGAGCCCCAATATCCCAGCCCCCATTTGCCCAAAAAGACAATGTAATGTAATCTTGTTCATCATCTAATTTCAGGTGGTCGATCATTATCCAAGGATGAGACTAAAGAAGAAGTTCTGTCCATGGAAGTGCAGAAACAGGAGATGGAAATAGAGATCAAAATGAAGATGGGAGCGATCATCAAAACAAGGCTAAAAGGTACCATCCATTGTTGCTTCTGTGATCTATGAAACCGAACCGCCCACCAACCCATCACGAACCCCCCTGATACACTTACCAAAACTAAAACTAGACATGTCCACACATCCTTGAGATCTCTGTTCTTCTGCCTCTTCTGCTCTCTCTCCCCCTTCATTCCAGCTTCAGTGTCTGCTCCCACCTGCAATTCTCTCGTGTGTGACATAGAATAGGAGGAAAAACTCACAAATGATCCATTAGAAGAAGAAGAAGAAGATAGATCGGAGAGAAAACCCAATTAGCTTAGGAAAAAGACCTGTGCAGTTCTTGAAGATATTAGAGAGAAAATAGAATAAGAAAGTCGCATTGAGTATAACGTCACGCGTGGCTTCCCAAAGTTGGTTTTGTCAATTTGAAGGAATGTAAATATAAATAAAAGAAGGATTGGCATTCATTGGCTGGGATCGATAATTGCGTAGCTTCTATCTGGGGTAGAGTTTGATTGATTTATTGCCTTAGATGACATTTAGTGCCGCGACATCCACCTGGCCACAATTCCTTTGTTTCTTCATTTTCATAACCTCTTTCATTATTGTTTCTTTCTTCTCTCCTCCCTTCTCATGCAAACCCAACTACAGCTTCTATTCCGAACATTAATCTTGTAAGTATAGTCATAAATGAGCCTTTACAAAAGAAGTCTTATGAGTGTAACCGCCCCAACTCACTGCTAATATTGTTCATTTTGGCATGTTACATATCGTCTCAACCTCATGGTTTTAAGCGTGTCTACTAGAGAGAAGTTTCCACACCCTTATAAGAAATGTTTCGTTCCCTTTTCCAACCGATGTGGGATCTCACAATCCAGCCCTCTTGGGAGTCTAGCATCCTCATTGGCTCACCGCTCAATATCTTGACTCTGATACCATTTGTAACAGCTCAAACTCACAGCTAATAAATATTGTTTGCTTTGGCCTATTATGTATCGCCGTCAGCCTCATGGTTTTAAACGCGTCTACTAAAAAGAGGTTTCCACACCCTTATAAGGAATATTTCGTTCCCCTCTCCAAGCGATGTTGACTATCAGATTTGAATTTAGTTTCATTACTTTTTTTAATAACCTATTTAGTTACCATGTTCATCAGAAACTTTTATGTTAGATTGGGGGTAATAGGAGGATTTAATTCAGGAAGTTGTTGAAGAAAATAGTAATAGCAGGCTGTTTTAAATTATATATGAAACTCTGTCAAATGCATCTGCATAAAAACACATTCATTGCAACTCAGCCATCCCTGGATTGTTAAATAAGTTAAAAGTCACTTGGTTTTTACTAGTATTTAGAAAAGGAAACAGCCCTACTTTTCCCAAAAAGCCCCCTTTGAGAGAGTCTGAGACACCCAATTAAAACTTGAACAAGGAAAGCCTAAAACACATCCAGACAAGACTGTCCCTTTATACAGGCATGGAGAAGAACTGATGACAGCTCCTTTATTATACCAAATAAAATTACTAGCCGTGGAAATACAATAATGTTGTGAATGACACAACTGGGTTAGGTAGTAATGTTGTGAACTGATGACTGTCCCTTTATACAGGCATGGGTTAGTATTATAATATTCCGAAGCTAAGCCTGCAGTTAAGTATGATTATAATCAATCATATTTTACTACTTCAATTGAATTTGAGTTAAGAAATTGGCCTGTTTCCTTCCCGTGTATCCTTCCCGTGTATCCTTCCCGTTCCCGTTTGACATAGTCAAATATAAGATTAGTTTAGTTCCACCGAACTAGTTAAAACATATATCTAAACCAAGAAATCAAAGGTTTGAATCCCCTTATTCTGAAGTCATTTTAGCTCGGGTTGAAACTCAAAATTGATTCGGGTAGATTTTCTTCTCATTTGAACAGATTTTTGGATCACATGGTGTGATAATGGAGCTGCCCAAGTAGAACTGTGATCTATGGAAGTGCAGAAAGTAAAGATAAGAACAGACATTATAACAAATATGGGTGCAATCATGAAAACAATGTCTATTTGTTGAATGAAACTGAAACTCCCACCAACCGAACACAAGCCTTCCCCATCATGCTTGCCACTGCCATTGAACCCTAAGTAGCCTTCACAGAATATGCAGATTCTCATTCTCTTCCCTTTTTCCTTCTTCCTTCACTGCTGATTCCCCTGCAAATCTCCATGTTTTATCCATCACAAAAAGCTCTTCAGAAGAACATATGGCTGAAAAGAAAACACTGAGAGATTGAGAGAGAACTATTACTGTAGAGGGTTAAAGGATTTGGTAAGTAATTGTTGACAAAATAGGATACAAACCCGGACATTTTATGTTAAAAAAATCATCATTAGCCCAATAAAATCAAACCAAAAGTCCAGTTATCTAGAAGACTAATTAGCCAACTCAACGAGTCCATTATCTAGAAGTTTCTAGATATCTAGATATTTTAAGAATATTTTAGAAGAAGATCAACTTGCGGTTTACATTGTATAGATCTACTATAGATACTCATCCAACTCTACAAGTTTTCTTGATTGGTTAAGAGTGTCAAAATTAAAAGTTTAAAGATTTATTAAACATTTATTCAAAATTAAAAGGCGAAAATGATAATTAAGTATGTTTTTTTAATTTATGAATTATATTAAAAAAAATATTCCTCCACGAAACGCTCACCATGCCCTAAACTTAGTCATGCCAATAGATTGGTAAATCCTCAAATGTCGAACAAAGGATTCTAAAAAGAAAAAGGAGTCAAACCTCCTCGAAGGTACGAAGATAGTAAAAAATGACTAAGACTCCAAAAGAGTCGAGCATCGATTAAGGGGAGGCATGTTTGTTCGAGGGGAGGTGTTGATGATGAAAGTCCCACATTGGCTAATTTAAGGAATGATCATGGGTTTATAAACAAAGAATACTCCCTCTACTAGATAGATTTTTTTGGGAAGCTCAAAGCAAAATCATGAGAGGTTATGCTCAAAGTAGACAATATCATACCATTGTGGAGAATCGTGTTCGTAGTCTCAACATCCATATTAAAATATCTTTTGACTTCTCGCAATCGATATAAGACAATGTTTGGATATGTATAAATTGAGTTTTTAATTTATTGAAATAAAAAAATATTAAACAAAATAAAATTACAATATCCCATTATAAGGTTTAAATTCCACTAAAGTCCATGAAGCGACAACTTGTATGCCAATCATCATCTTGGTGTATATATATATATATATATATATATATATATATATATATTACAAACGTTTAAAATTTAGTTTTTCTAATAATCTTAAAATTACGCTTTGTGCTTTATTATTAGTTTGAAATTAATTTTTTTATTAAATTTAATCAAGTAAATATAATATGAATATCTTTTCAAAATTTATAAAGCCAAACGCTAATAAACTAAAATTATATTTTAACAAGCAATATAATTAGTAATAACCAAACTACATAATAGATAATTAACATAAAATTAAGTGAAAGTTTCTTGAAAATTATTTTTCCTATGTTGGAAGAAAAAAAAAATTTTAAAAATATTTTCCAACATCCTCACTTTTTAATATTTTTTTTACATTGAATTTCTAAACGTAAAATTTAATTCTACCCGGAACGACCTATTATTTACAAACATTTATTATATCAAAGCCTAATTTTCTTTGATCAGAGACATTATGTTTTGGAATTTAAAAATAATATAATTTCTAAACATAGAGAAATTACAAATCTTAGCTCTCAATAAAGTTAAAAAAAATAAAAAAATAAAAATTATATTCTTTTTTAAATTCCAAAACGTGAGGTCTCTTCTCAAAAGAAAATTAAATTGACTAGTAAATGAGAAATGCTCATATCACATCCATATTAAAATGTGTTAATGATGGAAGATGGTAACTTAAATAGGTTAGAATATAACTTTAACTCATATATAAAAAAACAAACAAATATTTAAATTATAATTAAATAGTGCATGAAATGTGTTTATTAGTCATATTTGGACTAGTTCGTTCATTAAATGCAACTTAAACATCTCTTTCTTGAACTTCAACTTTGCATAACATATAAAAGAGGGCTCCAACGTAACTTGAATATGAGTGTACAAAGTTTGTTGTAGTTTCTTAGCTCTTGTCCTTGTAATTGGCCCTTAAGGTATGAAAATTCGTTGGCGTGGTTCATATCAAATCTCTACCATGACGTTGAATTGATGAAAACTTTGAGGAGGATAAGAAAGAATGGGTGGCAGGGGTAGAAAGAAGGGTCTCATACTGACTGGATAAGAACATGAATTGGAAACTTGGACCATTGGACTTGACCAAGCGTTGAAACATTTTTTTTTTTTTTTTTTTTTTTTTTTTTTTTGTTGTTGGGTAATTCTTCAAATCAATACAATACAGTTGTCCATTTGTAAATGATTACAAAAACAAACAATGAACAAATTGATGGCGAGGGATCTGGACATTAGACATGAAAGAAGCCCAATCGCGAAGCATCCTCTCCTACGCTCCAAAATTCCAATGGCAAGGGGTGAGCCTCTGTACCTTATCCTATAGCGGCTTCCTTCTCCTGCCGCGTCTGTTTCGCCACATTTCAAAATTCCACCCTTCCTTTTCTGTAATCAAAACAAACCGATTTGTTGAGCTTTTCCCATTTCCATCGTTGCTACACTAAGATCTTCAACCCTAAGGGTTCATCAAATTTTGGGGTGTTTCTGTTTTTCTCTTTTTGTGAATCTCTGGTGGAGAATGAGCGTGAAAACCCCGGCGACGAGGACTCGCGTTGGCAAGTACGAGCTCGGTAAAACCCTTGGCGAGGGCTCTTTTGCGAAGGTCAAGTTCGCCAAGAACATTGAGAATGGTGATTGTGTCGCCATCAAGATTCTTGATCGCGAACAAGTCCTTCGACACAAGATGGTCGAACAGGTAAACTGGTTTTCTTCGTTTTGTGGGATTTTTTCTTTTGTTATTTGTTGTTAATCTAGATTTGTTGGCAGATAAAAAGAGAGATATCGACTTTGAAAGTGATTAAGCATCCAAATGTCGTTCAGATTTATGAGGTACCATGTTCAATTTTCCCTGATTCTGTTTCCTTGTGAGGGAATAGGTTGAAAGTAGAGTGATCACCTATCTTTGATTTAAATCCCACAAGTTTTTCGAGGAACGAAATGTAGTAAAGTTAGACCGTTGTCTCATAGATTTTGGTCAAGATACATGCAAGTTGGCTCGATAATATATGAGATTGTAGTAGTATAATCATTATGATGAACGATTCCCTTTCTACCAATTCACTAAGCCATTGAAGTAAGGATAAAGCTAATTTGAGAAGGTTCTTGGGATGCATGTGTTTTAATTCTTCTGTTCTTGTTTATAGGTTATGGCAAGCAAATCGAAAATCTACATTGTTCTTGAGTTTGTAGAGGGAGGCGAGCTCTTTGACCAAATTGTAAGACATTGTTTATTAGATTCATATTTGCATTTTACATCCGTTCTGTCTTGTTTCTTATCTAATTTTACATGTATAATAATCTCTCCTAGCCAAAGAGAAGGCTTAAAGAGGATGATATTTCTATTTATAGGCTACAAAGGGAAGGCTTAAAGAGGATGAGGCAAGGAAATATTTCCATCAGCTTATTAATGCTGTAGATTACTGCCATAGTAGAGGCGTGTACCATCGAGATTTGAAGGTTTTAAAAAGATTTTCGAATTTCCTCGAAACTTTACTTAGTGTTTGCAATTAGATCAGTGGGGTTTAGT